TACAATGAAAGAAAACGGAAGGCGGGTGACCCCTGACTACAGGACAGGGAGTGAGATCACCAGCAGAACAAGTAACAGGTCTTGCGCGATCCAGGAATGACGCTCCCATGGTCACAGAACCTCTCATTACGTTCAGATTCCTTGAGATTTGGTGAGTTTAGGTGAGATTAGGTGAGTTTTGGTGAGATTAGGTGAGTTTTGGTGATTTTTGGTGAGTTTAGGTGAGATTTGGTGAGTTTTGGTGAGTTTTGGTGAGTTTTGGTGAGTTTAGGTGAGATTTGGTGAGTTTACGTGAGATTAGGTGTTGTGAGATTAGGTGCGTTTGGGTGAGTTTTGGTGAGTTTACGTGAGTTTTGGTGCGATTAGATGAGACTAGGAAATTTAGTGAGATGTAGGTCGTGGTAGTAGTCGTGGAGGTTGTGATAGCGGTAGTAGTAGTGATGGTGGTAGTAGTAGTAATAATGGTGGTAGTTCTTGGGGGTCGTGATAGTAGTAGTGGGGGTAGTAGTCGTGGTGGTAGTTCTTGGGGGTCGTGATGGTAGTGGTGGGGTAGTAGTCTGGTGGTAGTTCTTGGGGGTCGTGATGGTAGTGGTGGGGGTAGTAGTAGTGGTAGTTCTGGGGGTCGTGATAGTAGTGGGGAATAGTAGTCGTGGTGGTAGTTCTTGGGGTCGTGATGGTAGTAGTGGGGTAGTAGTCGTGGTGGTAGTTCTTGGGGTCGTGATGGTAGTGGTGGGGTAGTAGTAGTGGTGGTTCTGGGGGTCGTGATAGTAGTGGGGTAGTAATCGTGGTGGTAGTTCTTGGGGTCGTGATGGTAGTGGTGGGGTAGTAGTCGTGGTGGTAGTTCTTGGGGTCGTGATAGTAGTGGTGGAGGTAGTAGTCGTGGTGGAAGTTCTTGGGGGTCGTGATAGTAGTAGACACGACCTGACCACCTTCAGTGACATAACCGTCCAGGAACAGAACAACATAATAACAAAACAAGAACAAAAGAACAACAATAACAACGACAAGAACAAAATAAGAACAACATAATAACAAGAACAACAATAAGAAGAAGAATAAGAGGAAGAAAGACCTTCATTAACTGTTTTACCCGGACACACGCTTCCTCCTCCTCCTCCTCCTCCTCCTTCCTCCTCCCTCTTGTTCCTCCTCCTTGTTCCCATTCTCTTCTTCCTCTTCTTCCTCCTCGTCATCCGGGTATTAACCCTGTATCTATCCATAACCTAACCTAACCTAACCTAACTAACCTAACCTAACCTAACTACCTATCCATCACCTATCCTGACCTAACCTAACCTATCCATCACCGAACCTACCCTAACCTATCCATCACCTTACCTAACCTAACCTAACCTATCCATCACCTAACACAACCTAACCTATGCATCACCTAACCTAACCTAACCTATCCATCACCCTAACCTAAACTAACCTATCCATCACTATCACTAGCCCTAACCTAACCTATCATCACTAACCTAACTAACCTAACCTATTCATCACTAACCTAACCTAACCTAACCTATCCATCACCTATCCTGACCTAACCTAACCTAACCTATCCATCACCAAACCTAACCTATCCATCACACCTAACCTAACCTAACCTATCCATCACCTATCTAACCTAACCTAACCTAACCTAACCTAAACTAACCTATAACCCTAACCCAACCTAACCCTAACCTAACCTAGCAACCTAACCTAACCTAACCTAACCTAACCTAACCTAACCCAACCTAACCTAACCCTAACCTAACTTCTAACTAACCCAACCTAACTAACTAACTTAACCCCCCAAAAATCTAATCCATTACAAAATAAAATAAAAATAAAACACAATCTCTGAAAAAAAAAACAACAAAAATAAGGAGAAAAAACATTATCAACACAAACACACAGTCAACCTCTTTCTCCTCCACCCATCTTTCTCTCATTCCCCCTTCTCCTCCCCTCCACCTTTCCCTTCCCCACCTTTCTTCCCCCATTCTCTCCTTCCCCTACCTTTCCCCACCTTTTCCCCTTCTCCCTACCTTTCCCCCACCTCTCTCCCCCTTCCCCACCTTTCTCATCCCCCACCACCTTTCTTCCCCCCTCCTCCTCACCATACCTACCTGTACTCTCACCTGAAATCCATAACTATACCTGTAAGTCGGTTACCTCAACACCACAGGTAAACCCCCCCAACACCACAGGTAAACCCTCCCCCAAGAAACAGATATAATATAACATTTAAATACGGTAATTCCTCTCAATATATGATTTTAGTTGAAGTAAACAGTGGGTTAAGGTCATGTGGGAATCCTTAGTAATGTGTTAGGCTAGGGTGTGCTTTAATACAAGGATGATATAGTGGGGGTTAGCAGTATTACCTAACCCGGATATATCTGGTGATTTTTTTTTTCAAATTGAGTGTGTATGTGTATGTCTGTGTATGTATATTTATGTATGTGTGTGTGTGTGTGTGTGTGTGTATATTTGTATGTGTCTGTGTATGTATGTGCGTATGTGTGTGCATGTGTGTGTATGTGTGTCTATGTATATATATGTATGTCTGTGTGACGACCTGTGGTGTATAGATCAGCATGTTCGCCTCGCAAGTGAGTGGACCCGGGTTCGATCCTCGGGCAAGGTGAAACTATGGGCAAGTTTCTTTACACCATTTGCCTCTGTCTACCCAGCGGTAATGGACGAGTTATCGGTCTGAATTTTTTCTTAAGATGGCAGATCAATGGGTAAAGAACACGCTTAAATTCACTATGGTAATGTCTTAAAATAAATTGGGGCCAAGAAGTGTCAAAAATAAGGGTTAAAGTTGCCAAAAAGTCACGTTACTGCGAAAAGCTCTGTGATTGGTTGTTAATGAATACTTGAATAAGTTTCTATATATAGGTATCTGGGTCTATTAAAACTCTATCTGTATGGCTGTCTGTCTAACTGCTAAACACCTTGAGCTATTAACTATTATATGTAGCTATGGTCCATCTCTCCTTGCAGTATAGTTAAGAAGAAAAGCAAAAATAAAAATGTAAAAATAATCCTCTTTACATTAACTAATTAACAATGGCCACCATAAGGTAAAACTCTTTTAATTGAGTATTTCTCTTTTTCCATCACATTATAAAAGACATTCACTAGTGTTATCCTCAGAGCCTAGGAGAACGAACACACCAACACCGTAAAACAAGACCAAGAACACATCGAGGGATACAGAATCATACTATCATCTTCACTATCCGGGGTCTTCTCTGCACGATCACTCCACACACTATCACACACCATCATCACTATTCTTAGCTACAAGGGTTAAAAAATTATCTCTGAGCGTCTTCCTCAAAAAAAAAAAAAATAATAAAAATTGTTTCCGAAATCTACAACACAGAAATATATGTCAGTAATGGCTGGCCGACTCACGAGTTCCATTATGATAGATACATGTGAATTGATATGTACAGGAATATGGATTAGAAGGACATGTGATGGGGGGAGGGAGGGGTGTTGAGATCATCGCCAGGGGTGTGTATGAGGGCTGAGGAACACACACACACACATACACATACACACACACACACACGAGTAAGACATGAAGATTCAGTAACCAAGACTAGTGTAAGACATCCCACATCAGCCTGTACTGTACACCTTCGCCTCTCATGGAACAACAGGTAAACGTGGTACCTTAACTAATTAAATGAATAACTTAAAGGAACGTTTACCAGATAGGGTTAGTCGTTATCTGACGCCTCTTGTGTGTGTGTGTGTGTATGTGTGTGTGTGTGTGTGTGTGTGTGTGTGTGTGTGTGTGTGTGTGTGTACTACACGTCAGGTGTATCACAAAGATGTCTGAAATTACAATCACAGTAACGTGTTATTTATTACTTGCGCAGCATCAGTTCTTAGTTCCCCTGTCTGTCTGTCTGTCTGTCTGTCTGTTTGTCTGTTCCTGTGTGTGTATTCTCTGCCTCTATATTCGTCTGTCTGTCTGTTCGTCTGGTTCGTTCGTCTGTCTCGTGTGTATCTTCGCTCTATATCTGTTCGTCTGTCTGTCTGTCTGTCTGTCTGTCTGTCTTCGTGTGTGTATCTTTCGCTCTATATCTGTCTGTCTGTCTGTCTGTCTGTGTGTGTGTGTATCTTTCTGCCCTATCTGGGTTCGTCTGTCTGTCTGTCTGTCTGTCTGTCTGTCTGTCTGTCTGTCTGTGTGCATTCTCTCTGCCCTTATGTCTGTCTGTCTGTCTGTCTGTCTGTCTGTATGTGTATCTCTCTGCCTCTATGTCTGTCTGTCTGTCTGTATATGTATCTCTCTGCCTCTATGTCTGTCTGTCTGTCTGTTTGTCTTTTAAAGTGTATGTGTGTGTGTGTGTATGTGTGTGTGTGTATGTTTTATGTGACAAACAGACATACACAGAAATAAATATAATAACCCCAAAAAAAATCCAAACCTCAAAATCATAACAAACAAGAAATAAAATCCTAAACATCTAACAACTTCACCCTATCACAACCCATCAAAGTCGTTGGTTAAACATCCTTGGACGAACACCTTCACCAGCCTCCTCTATCTCTCTCTCTCTCTCCACTTATTATATATTTTTTTTTTTAACTATCATGTGTTATCCATCATTAGTAACTCTTCCTTCTTCAATCTACATAAGAAACAAAGAAGAAATATGTCGAGTATTTGATGATGCTTGAGGGAGGTGGGAAAAAGAGGGGGGGGGGTTGATTGGGGGTATGTGGGGTGGGGTGTGGGGGTAGAGTTGAGGAGTGGTGTTAGGATATGGGATTGGTTTATGGGGAGGTTGGGGAGGGGATGAGTGGGAGAGGGGAATGGGGAGGGTTTGAGTAAGGGGATTGATTTTTGGTGTGATGGAGGGGGTAGGTTTATGTGGGGGAGGTAGGGGGGGTAGGTTTGAATGTTGGGGGTAAATGGGGTGATGGGTTAAGGGGGGATCACGTATATAAAGAGATGACTGACAGAGAACACCAAGCAGAGTGATCTGATCTCGTCTTCAGCATGTTGACGGTAAGAACTTCAATGTCCCTTTCCCATATTAATTTTAACACGGGTGAGAGTACAGGTGAGACTACAGGTGAGGGTACAGGTGAGAGTGCAGGTTATAGTACAGGTGAGAACTGCGAGGCTTATAATTGATTTTATATGAATGAAAATAAATACATAATGTATTTATAGTTTATATAGTGTGTGATATACAGATGTAGAGGAATTATTTAAGATGGAAATGATATGAGAAAATAATGCAGGTAAGATATATATTTACAACTGATATATATATATTTTTTATTCATCAATATGTTTACTTATAATTATTGATGACTTGTGTATGTAAGTGAGACCTCTATTTAACGGACTATATGGAGAGATTCGTCCGCTATATGGAGGTTTCACTGTATTCAAATAGACTACATCACCACACGCTTAAAGGCATTAGTCATTCAATCACTGTATCAACACACACACGATACATATACTTCTGTGTGTTCCTGCAGAAGGTTGTGTTGTGTGTGGTGGTGGTGACGGCAGGGGCCACCATTCTGAGGGACGAGCGTCAGGGGCCATTTGAAAACGGTGCCTACAGCTTCGACTTCCAGACCAGCGGTGGCATCAGGCGTCAGGAGGAAGGCGTCCCTCTGAGGAGGTCTGGAGCCGTGGCCGTACAAGGAGGATGGTCGTGAGTATCAATCATCATGTTCACAACTTCAATAGTATATGAAATATCTGTCTGTCTGTCTGTCTGTCTGTCTGTCTGTCTGTCTATCTGTCTGTTTGTGTCTGTCTGTCTGTGTTTGTCTGTCTCTTACTACGTCTATCCGTCTTCCCTGTCTCTCCTTCAGGTTCAACTTCCCCGACGGTACACCCTCTAATGTTAACTTCATCGCTGACGAGGCCGGTTACCGGGAAGTGTCCGACCGGTTCTCGGCTCCAGGTTACCGACCCGGTGGATATAAACGTCCGGTATCCCAGTTTGGTGGAGCATCTAGTCCTGGATCCCAGTTTGGTGGAGCATCTCGTCCTGGATCCCAGTTTGGTGGAGCATCTAGTCCTGGATCCCAGTTTGGTGGAGCATCTCGTCCTGGATCCCAGTTTGGTGGAGCATCTAGTCCTGGATCCCAGTTTGGTGGAGCATCTCGTCCTGGATCCCAGTTTGGTGGAGCATCTCGTCCTGGATCCCAGTTTGGTGGAGCATCTCGTCCTGGATCCCAGTTTGGTGGAGCATCTAGTCCTGGATCCCAGTTTGGTGGAGCATCTCGTCCTGGATCCCAGTTTGGTGGAGCATCTAGTCCTGGATCCCAGTTTGGTGGAGCATCTCGTCCTGGATCCCAGTTTGTGGAGACCCTGCCCTGGATCCCAGTTTGCGGAGCATCTCTCGTCCTGGATCCTGCTTGGTGGAGCATCTTAGTCCTGATCCCAGTTTGGTGGAGCATCTAGTCCTGGATCCCAGTTTGGTGGAGCATCTCGTCCTGGATCCCAGTTTGGTGGAGCATCTCGTCCTGGATCCCAATTTGGTGGAGCATCTCGTCCTGGATCCCAGTTTGGTGGAGCATCTCGTCCTGGATCCCTGTTTGGTGGACCTGGATCACTGCCTGCTGCATCATCTAGACCTGGATCCCAGTTTGGTGGAGCATCACGGCCAGGATTCGCAGCTGCAGGATCCCAAACCTCTGGGTCATTTCCGGGATCCTCTTATATTCCTCCTTCAGGTCCAGGATCCCAGGTTGGTGGATCAGGCGCCCCAGTATTTCAGACAAGGGCATCAGGAGCCCCAGGATCACAGGCTGGGGGATTTGAAACCCCAGGATCTCAGCCAAGTGGATTAGAAGCACCAGGATCCCAGGGTGGTGCATCAGGAGCCCCAGGATCCCTACCCAGTGGATCTGGAGCCCCAGGATCCCTACCTAGTGGATCAGGAGCCCCAGGATCCCTACCCAGTGGATCAGGAGCCCCAGGATCCCTACCCAGTGACCAGAGCCCCAGGATCCTACCTAGTGGATCAGGAGCCCAGGATCCCTACCTAGTGGATCAGGAGCCCCAGGATCCCTGTCACCTATTGATCAGGAGCCCCAGGATCCTACCCAGTGGATCTAGAGCCCCAGGATCCCTACCTATTGGATCAGGAGCCCCAGGATCCCTACCCAGTGGAGCAACAGGAGCCCCAGGATCCCTACCTATTGATCAGGGATTCCCCAGGATCCTCACTCAGGGATCAGAGCCCCAGGATCCCTACCTATTGATCAGGAGCTCTAGGATCCCTACCAGGATCAGAGCCCCAGGATCCTACCTAGTGATCAGGACCCCAGGATCCCCACCTATTGGATCAGGAGCCCAGGATCCCTACCTCGTGGATCAGAGCCCCAGGATCCCTACCTATTGGATCAGAGCCCCAGGATCCTACCTATTGGATCAGGAGCCCTGTGATTTTCTACTGATCTGGAGTTCCCCAGATCCTACCTAGTGGATCAGGAGCCCCGGTGATCCCTAGCTAGTGGATCAGGAGCCCCAGGATCTCACGCAGTGTGTGGATCAGGAGCCCTTGCGATCCTCAACACCTATTGGATCTGGAGCCCCAGGATCCCTACCTATTGGGATCTGGAGCCCCAGGATCCCTACTCAGTGAATCAGGAGCCCCAGGATCCCTACCTAGTGGATCAGGAGTCCCCAGGATCCCTACTCCAGGATCAGGAGCCCCAGGATCCCTACCCAGTGGATCAGAGCCCAGGATTTCTGGTAATTATTGGATCTGGAGCCCGGGTGATCCCTACCTCGTGGATCAGGAGCCCCAGGATTTCTACCTATTGGATCTGGAGCCCCAGGATCCCTACCTATTGGATCTGGAGCCTCAGGATCCCTACCTAGTGGATCAGGAGCCCCAGGATCCCTACCTAGTGGATCTGGAGCCCCAGGATCCCTACCTAGTGGATCTGGAGCCCCAGGATCCCTACCTAGTGAATCAGGAGCCCCAGAATCCCTACCTAGTGGATCAGGAGCCCCAGGATCCCTACCTACTGGATCAGGAGCCCCAGGAGCCCAGATTCGTGGATCAGGAGCACCAGGATCCTTCTTTGGCGGATCAGAGACCCAGTTCAGTGCTCCACAAGTCCCCGGATACCTGTACTCTGCCCCGCCACCCTCCAGCCAACTACGATTTTAATGTTTTCTTACGACTCTTAAGAACGAGTACTTGATCTCCCTATATGACTTCGGTCTTGAGTTATAGGCTCGGGATATGACTTCGGTCTTGAGTTATAGGCTCGGTATATGACTTCGGTCTTGACTTAGAGCTGTTACAGTGTTACCAGAAGCATAAAGGATGTACAATGGACCAGTTTAGATTCCTCAAAGATTCGCAAATCGCCATCTTTCATCCCCCCCCCCCAAAAAAAAAAAACACACTAAAACGTAACTTACTGTCTCAATTAAGTTCCGGCACAGAGATGGCTGTCTAAATGGCGACGAATTGCGCTGAGACTGTACCATTAGTGTGAACTTGTACACGTTGTGACTCACTGAGAATCCATGACTCTTACTAAATTCATCTGAGACTAATCTGCCTTCATGCTTGACTATGTTGATTAAAGCTCCTTTGTGGTTAAAAAAAATAATATATTGATGAAATTAAATAAATATGATTAATCTTTTATTTTGCGATTTGATTTACATAATTGTAACTGTATATGCAAATAAATCTGTGAATATTGATAATTATTTATTTATGTTTGAGCAAGATCATGTACACCATAGAGAAATAATATACATGCTATGAAATATTTACTTACCATCACCCATAAATTACAAGTATGTGTAGGAGAGTAAAGGATTATCACCCTAATGCTCATGTACACAAACTGAGGAGGCTCGAACACTCCCCTTGTCTGACCACCACTGAATACCATAATCTCCCCGATGTGTTGTAGTTTATATCAACGTTATACTCAACAGCTTTACTCCAGGTGATTGATGAGTCTACTTATGAACAATTTATTGCGACAATCAATAATGCCCAAAATAAACACATCCCTAAAAGAAAATTCAGATCGATACGGAACCAACCAAAATGGATGAATAATAGACTCTTAGATCTTCTAGGGAAAAAGAAAGGAGTATATAGAAAAGTTAAGAAAGGCGAAAATCACTTACTTGGTTACTATCAGAACCTAACAAGACAGGTAAAACAGAAATTAGGAAAGCAAAAGAGAAATTATGAAATCAAGGTAGCAAACGAATCGAAAAATAACCCCAAAGCTTTTTATCAACTGTATAAATCAAAGGTTAGAGATACAATAGGTCCCCTTAAAACTACGACAGGAGAAATGACTGATGATGAGTTAGAAATGTGTAGTACGTTAAATAGTCATTTTCGCTCCGTATTCACAAATGAAAACCTAACAGTTTCCAGAAGTTCATAAGGTATATAACGACAGTATAGAAAATATGTTGATGAATATCAATATTACTAGTAACGATGTGCTTAAAGTAATTAACAAACTGAAGCCTCATAAATCGCCTGGTCCAGACAGGGTATATGCTAGAATATTAAAAGAATGTAGAGATGAGTTGAGTAATCCATTAGCAGTTTTATTTAATAAGTCATTAGAATCGGGCCTAGTGCCAGAAGCTTGGAAACTTGCAAATGTAGTTCCGATTTTCAAAAGGGTGATAAATCAATAGCATCAAATTACCGTCCCATTAGTCTCACGTCAATCATAGGCAAGTTGCTAGAGTCAATTATTGCTACAAAAATCAGAAGCCACCTTGAAACATTCAACAATTCATTCTTCTCACGGGTTCACCCAGGGACGTTCTTGTCTCACAAATTTGTAGCTTTTTCTCAGAAGTATTTGAAGCGGTAGATAATGATAAGTCATATGATATAATTTATTTAGATTTCAGTAAAGCATTCGATAGAGTCCTCATGAGAGATTGATAAGGAAGGTAGAAGCACATGGAATAGGTGGATCAGTATTAAAATGGATTAGGTCATGGTTAACTGGTAGGAAACAAAGAGTCAGCATAAATGGATTAAAGTCAGACTGGGGTGCGGTCAAAGCGGAGTTCCCCAGGGATCTGTATTAGGCCCTCTGCTGTTTGTTATATTCATTAATGATCTTGATTTAGGCATAACTAGTAGGATTAGTAAATTTGCAGATGATACCAAAATGGGGAGAGTGATAAATTCAGACAGTGACTTTGAACACCTTCAAAGAGATCTAGATACCTTACATGAGTGGTCAGTAGACTGGCAAATGAATTTTAATACTGATAAATGCAAGGTACTACAGATAGGGAAGACGAATACAAACGTTAAGTATAAACTAGGTAACACGGAAATAGAAAACTCAGTTTGTGAAAAAGATCTAGGTGTATTTGTTAGCAACGACTTGAAACCTAGAAAACAATGTATTAGCGTTCGCAACAAGGCAAACAGGTTCTTGGGTTCATATCTAGGTCTGTGAGTAACAGAACTGCTGACGTTATCTTGAAACTTTACCTAGCATTAGTGAGGCCACACATGGATTATGCGGTTCAGTTCTGGTGTCCTTATTATAGAATGGACATAGATTCTTTGGAGAGAGTACAAAGAAGAATGACAAAAATGATCCATAATATTAGAAACCTTCCATATGAAGAAAGACTGAAAAGCTTAGGCTTACATTCATTAGAGAGGCGTAGAGTTAGGGGAGATATGATAGGGTGTACAAGTGGGTAAGTGGGATTAACAAGGGTAAAATGGAAGATGTTCTGAAGCTCAGTAATAACGAAATAACTAGAACAAATGGCTTTAAATTAGATAAATTCCGATTCAGAAAGGATATAGGCAAGCACTGGTTTGGTAATAGAGTTGTGGATATGTGGAATAGGCTACCGAGTGCTATAGTAGGATCGGGGACGCTAGGGAGCTTCAAGACGAAGTTGGATAGGCACATGGAAGTGCTGGGATGGGTGTGAAAGGGATCTGCCCTGCATGGGCCAGTTGGCCTCCTGCAGTATCCCACTTTCTTATGTTCTTATGTTATGTTCTTAAGATGTTCTAAAGGAGATTAATTTTAGGGGAATATTTGGAAAGTCACCGCAATACATAGGAACCTGGGGGAGAGGGGGCGAAAAAAATATAGAAAAAAATAAACAAAGAAGTGAATAAAAAATCAATAGTGAGAAACGATATATATGTTGTGTTGTCAAAGTAAGAGAAACAATTGAGACCCTGCAACTGTGTGTAAATGAGGCAGAAAGTCAGATCAGCAACCTGGGACTTGGTCACATATGGCAGCAGGGTCTACCATTAGACAACACATTATGCTTCCAATATCTTCCCAGGCGGTAGTACCTCCCTGTTTGGTAGCTGCCTACTACCTACTACCTCCCAAACATACTGCACACACACATACACACACACATACACACACACACACACAGCTCAAGTCGTAACTAATTGAACATACAGTAAAAGTAAACACAAAAAACAGGAAGTAAAAACGATAAAGAAAATACGAAGGAAAAGAAGCTTAAACAGAAAACGGGAATAAGAATACAAAAGCAGAGTCATAAGAAGAAAACGAAAGGAAAGAGAAAAACAACACCACTCATCTACACACCCGAGAGAAAGTGAAGACGCAACACTAATATCTCTCTCTCTCTCTCTCTCTCTCTCTGTAACCAGACGATGGCAAACCCAAATTTGTATATCTTATGTGAAGCAATAAACCAACGAACCTGTAAACCCTTGAACCCTGACCCAAGAATCTATGTAGCCATTGACCCGAACCCGTGAACTCATTAACCCTAACCCGTGAACCTTTAAGCCCATTAACCCGAACCCGTGAACCCGTGAACCCATTAACCCGAACCCGTGAACCCATAAACCCAAATCCGTGAACCTATAAGCCCATTAACCCGAACCCGTGAACCCGTGAACCCATTAACCCATTAACGACACAAGCCTCTTTAGGCCACAGCAGGTAACCCAGAGGTGCGCCGTCACGTAACACACTCCACAAGAACTAGTCTGGCGGGAGGCGTCTTCAGTGAGTCAATTAAAACACTTCAAGATCAACACCTTCTTGCCTCGAATCCTGGAGGTCAATTTGGTTGAAGAGAAAAGCGGTACATTGGTTGGTATGAGCTTAGGTGCGTTTTTGATTGGTCGGTTGTGTTTGTTTACGTGATAGGTGATTGGTGGGAGTTAATTGGTGAGACACATAAACAATAACTAGTTTAGATATAATCTAACTTAACCAAACCTAACCTAATTCAACCAAACCTACCCTAAGCTAACCCATGTCATCTAACCTAACCTAACACACCTTAATAAAAACGACAACAATAAAAATAATAATAATAATAATAATAATAATAACAAAAAAGATAAATACAAAAGTAACAAATAACTCCGCCTCCCTTACCATGCTCCTGTCACACACCACAGTCTTCGAGGTAGTAGATAATGACGAAAATTACGATGTTATTTACTTAGACTTTAGCAAAGCATTTGACAGAGTACCGCATCAGAGGCTTCTGAGAAAAATTAAGGCTCATGGTATCGAGGGGAAAGTTTTAAATTGGATAAAATCATGGCTCACCGATAGAACGCAGAGGGTCAGCGTAGATGGTGTTAAATCTGAGTGGCCAACCAGTGGGGTTCCCCAGGGTCAGTACTAGGCCCACTCTTGTTCATAATCTACATAAACGATTTAGATGCTGATCAGCAGTGACATACAAGTTTGCGGATAACACGCAAATAGGGCGGAAATTAATTCAGGCAGGATGCAAATGCATTACAGGAGGATCTAAATAAACTGCAGGGTGGCCTGAAAATGGCAAATGAAATTCAACACCAGCAAGTGCAGCGTACTTAAATTGGAAGAACAAATACTTATAATGTATACAGCCTAACAACATCAACCTAGAGAAGTCGACTTGTGAAAGAGACCTAGGGTACTTGTGCCGGACCGACGGCCAAGAAAACAGTGCGTTAATGTTCGAAATAAGGCAAACAGAGTATTGGGTTATATCTAAAAGTGTAAGTAACAAGAGTGCAGGTCTTATTGCAACTATATCTTGCGCTAGTCAGGCCGCACCTCGATTATGCGGTTCAGTTCTGGTGCCTCATAGAATGGATATAAATTCACTAGAGTCGGTGCAGCGAAGAATGACAAATGATTCCGGGACTTAGAAACCTTCCATATCAGGATAGGTTAAAGAAACTTAACTTGCATTCCCTAGAAAGACGAAGAGGTGAGGAGATATGGAGGAAGATTAAGTAAGAAAGGAATCAATAGGATATAGATAAAGTTCTTATAATATCCGAGCAGGATAGGACTCAGAACGGATTCAAGTTGGATAATTTTAGGTTTAGAGGGAGATAGGAAGAAACTGGTTCACAAATAGGGTGGTGGACGAGTGGAACAAGCTTAGCATCTTTATAGTAAGTGCGGGAACTCTGGAAAGTTTCAAAAGGAGGCTAGATACATTCATGGATGATAGAGAGTGGTAGTAACTCTCGACAGGAGCTGCCATGCACAGGCCAACCGCCATTGCAGACTCCTTATTTTCTTATGTTCTTATGTTCTCCCAACACGTTCTGGTTTACTGTACTAGTGATAAAACCAAGGCCAGATACCCGTCGTGTTAATTTATCGTCTTCCTCACCTCCTCCGGGAAATGTGGCGCAATTGTTCGGCTTTTTCTATATACTTGTTTTTATTCTTCTGCTCTACTTTACATGTGTGTGTGTGTGTGTGTGTGTGTGTGTGTGTGTGTGTCCAAACATCAATTCAGAGAAACAAATGAGCATCAATATTCACACATATATTTATTTAGTTCACACACATATATATGTTAACATAAATCACAGGAATCATATCACATTATTTTTTCTAACCCTACAGGTGTTAAATTATTCACCTTTTAAATGACTGAACAATAAGTAACATTGCACACCTGAGTATAAAGTCTTGGTAACGCGTCAGTCTTATGAGTCTTGTGATAAGCCTCTCCTAAATGGGATCTTATAGCATCTAATTAGGTAGTCTCGATACTTTTGTTCTAAGCTCTAAGGCAAGATATAAGACATATATGTTGCTGTAAGTCAAGGCATAAGACATACACAGAGCTGTAAGTCAAGATATAAGTCATATATGGTGCTTTTCAAGAAAGGACAAATATGAGCCCAAGTCAAGACATAAGACATATACGGAGCTCAAAGTCAAGACATAAGACACATACGGAGCTAAAAGTCAAGACATAAGACACATACGGAGCTACAAGTCAAGACATAACACACATGAGAAGAGATACAGGAGCCCAAGTCAAGACATAAGACACATACGGAGCTACAAGTCAAGACATAAGACACATACGGAGCTACAAGTCAAGACATAAGACACATACGGAGCTCCAAGTCAAGACATAAGACACATACGGAGCTCCAAGTCAAGACATAAGACACATACGGAGCTCCAAGTCAAGACATAACACTTATAAAGAGCTTAATTAAGACTTTATAACGAGCTCTAAACTTTGAGTTGGTTTAGACAGCAGCGGGGCAGAGTACAGGTACCCGGGTACTGATGAGGCACTGAACTGGGCCTCTAAGGACGACGATCCACCGAACTGGGATTCTGGTGGATCCACCGAACTGTGATTCTTGAACTGGGGATCCACCGAACTGCGATTCTGGTGTTTGTGATCCACCGAACTGGGATTCTTGAACTGGGGATCCACCGAACTGGGATTCTGGTGTTTGTGATCCACCGAACTGGAATTCTGGAACTGAGGATCCACCGAACTGGGAATCTGGTGTTTGTGATCCACCGAACTGGGATTCTTGAACTGGGGATCCACCGAACTGGGATTCTGGTGTTTGGGATTCACCGAACTGGGAATCTGGTGTTTGGGATCCACCGAACTGGGATTCTGGAGTTTGGGATCCACCGAACTGTGATTCTTGAACTGGGGGATCACCGAACTGGGATTCTGGTGTTTGTGATCCACCGAACTGTGATTCTTGAACTGGGGATCCACCGAACTGGGATTCTGGTGTTTGTGATCCACCGAACTGGGATTCTTGAACTGGGGATCCACCGAACTGGGAATCTGGTGTTTGTGATCCACCGAACTGGAATTCTTGAACTTGGGATCCACCGAACTGGGATTCTGGTGTTTGGGATTCACCGAACTGGGAATCTGGTGTTTGGGATCCACCGAACTGGGATTCTGGTGTTTGGGATCCACCGAACTGGGATTCTTGAACTGGGGATCCATCGAACTGGGTTTCTGGTGTTTGGGATCCACCGAACTGGGATTCTGGAACTGGTGATCCACCGAACTGGGATTCTGGTGTTTGGGATTCATTGAACTGGGATTCTGGTGTTTGGGATTCACCAAACTGGGATTCTGGTGTTTGGGATTCACCAAACTGGGATTCTGGTGTTTGGGATCCACCGAACTGGGATTCTGGAACTGGTGATCCACCGAACTGGGATTCTGGTGTTTGGGATTCACCAAACTGGGATTCTGGAACTGGTGATCCACCGAACTGGGATTCTGGTGTTTGGGATTCACCGAACTGGGATTCGAGAACTGGGGATCCACCGAACTGGGATTCTGGTGTTTGAGATTCACTGATCTGGGATTCTGAAACTGGTGATACACCGAACTGGGAATCTGGTGTTTGGGATTCACTGAACTGGGATTCTGGAACTGGTGATACACCAAACTGGGGATCTGTAGTTTGGGATTCACCCAACTGGGAATCTGGTGTTTGGGATTCACTGAACTGGGATTCTGAAACTGGTGATACACCAAACTGGGGATCTGGTGTTTGGGATTCACCCAACTGGGAATCTGGTGTTTGGGATTCACTAAACTGGGATTCTGAAACTGGTGATACACCAAACTGGGGATCTGTAGTTTGGGATTCACCCAACTGGGAATCTGGTGTTTGGGATTCACTGAACTGGGATTCTGAAACTGGTGATACACCAAACTGGGGATCTGGAGTTTGGGATTCACCCAACTGGGAATCTGGAACTGGTGATCCACCGAACTGGGATTCTGGTGTTTGGGATTCACTGAACTTGGTTTCAGAAACTGGTGATACACCAAACTGGGGATCTGGTGTTTGGGATTCACTGAACTGGGATTCTGAAACTGGTGATACACCCAGCTGGGGATCTGTTTGGTTGGGGAGTTCACCTTTAGAATCTGGTGTTGGGATTCTGAACTGGGATTCTGGAAGCTGGTGATACACCAGAGCTGGGGATCTGTGGTTTGGGATTCACCCAACTGGGAATCTGGTGTTTGGGATTCACTGAACTGGGATTCTGAAGCTTGTGATACACCAAACTGGGGATCTGTAGTTTGGGATTCACCCAACTGGGAATCTGGTGTTTGGGATTCACTGAACTGGGATTCTAAAACTGGTGATACACCAAACTGGGGATCTGGAGTTTGGGATTCACCCAACTGGGAATCTGGAACTGGTGATCCACCGAACTGGGATTCTGGTGTTTGGGATTCACTGAACTGGGATTCTGAAACTGGTGATACACCAAACTGGGGATCTGGAGTTTGGGATTCACCCAACTGGGAATCTGGAACTGGTGATCCACCGAACTGGGATTCTGGTGTTTGGGATTCACTGAACTTGGTTTCTGAAACTGGTGATACACCAAACTGGGGATCTGGTGTTTGGGATCCACCCAACTGGGAATGTGGAACTGGTGATCCACCGAACTGAGATTCTGGTCTTTAGGGAATGACTGAACTGGGATTCTGGAAGCTGGTGATACACCGGGCAGGGATCTGGTGTTTGTGATTCACCCAACTGGGAATCTGGAACTGGTGATCCACCGAACTGGGATTCTGGTGTTTGGGATTCACTGAACTGGGATTCTGAAACTGGTGATACACCAAACTGGAGATCTGTAGTTTGGGATTCACCCAACTGGGAATCTGGAACTGGTGATCCACCGAACTGGGATTCTGGTCTTTGGGAATGACTGAACTGGGATTCTGAAACTGGTGATACACCAAACTGGGGATCTGGTGTTTGGGATTCACCCAACTGGGAATCTGGTGTTTGGGATTCACTGAACTGGGATTCTGAAACTGGTGATACACCAGAGCTGGGGATCTGTAGTTTGGGTTCACCCAACTGGGAGAATCTGGTGTTTGGGATTCACTGAACTGGGATTCTGAAACTGGTGAGTACACCAGACTGGGGATCTGTAGTTTGGGATTCACCCAACTGGGATTCTGGTCTTTGAATGGCCCCAGACTGGGATTCTGAAACTGGTGATACACCGAACTGGGGATCTGGTGTTTGGGATTCACCCAGCTAGAATCTGGTGTTTGGGATTCACTAGACTGGGATCTGAAACTGGTGATACACACCGACTGGGGATCTGTGGTTGGGATTCACCCAACTGGGAATCTGGTGTTTGGGATTCGCAGCTGGGAATCTGGTGTTTGGGATTCACTGAACTGGGATTCTGAAACTGGTGATACACCAAACTGGGGATCTGTAGTTTGGGATTCACCCAACTGGGAATCTGGTGTTTGGGATTCACTGAACTGGGATTCTGAAACTGGTGATACACCAAACTGGGGATCTGGTGTTTGGGATTCACCCAACTGGGAATCTGGTGTTTGGGATTCACTAAACTGGGATTCTGAAACTGGTGATACACCAAACTGGGGATCTGTAGTTTGGGATTCACCCAACTGGGAATCTGGTGTTTGGGATTCACTGAACTGGGATTCTGAAACTGGTGATACACCAAACTGGGGATCTGTAGTTTGGGATTCACCTAACTGGGAATCTGGAACTGGTGATCCACCAAACTGGGATTCTGGTGTTTGGGATTCACTGAACTGGGATTCTGAAGCTGGTGATACACCAAACTGGGGATCTGTAGTTTGGGATTCACCCAACTGGGATTCTGGTGTTTGGGATTCACTGAACTGGGATTCTGAAACTGGTGATACACCAAACTGGGGATCTGTAGTTTGGGATTCACCCAACTGGGAATCTGGTGTTTGGGATTCACCGAACTGGGATTCTGAAACTGGTGATACACCAAACTGGAGATCTGTAGTTTGGGATTCACCCAACTGGGAATCTGGTGTTTGGGATTCACTGAACTGGGATTCTGAAACTGGTGATACACCAAACTGGGGATCTGGTGTTTGGGATTCACCCAACTGGGAATCTGGTGTTTGTGATTCACCCAACTGGGAATCTGGAACTGGTGATCCACCGAACTGGGATTCTGGTGTTTGGGATTCACTGAACTGGGATTCTGAAACTGGTGATACACCAGAGCTGGGGATCTGTAGTTTGAGATTCGCAACTAGAATCTGGTTTGGGATTCGCAGACTGGGATTCTGAAACTGGTGATACGCAGAGCTGGGGATCTGTAGTTTTGGGATTCACCCAACTGGAATCTAGCGGTGTTTGGGATTCACTGAACAGGATTCACCAGCAACTGGTGATACACCAAACTGGGGATCTGTAGTTTGGGATTCACCCAACTGGGAATCTGGTGTTTGGGATTCACTGAACTGGGATTCTGTAACTGGTGATACACACATAGGCTGAGGGATCTGTAGTTTGGAATTCACCCAACTTCTAGGGAATCTGGTGTTTGGGGGATTCACTAAACTGGGTTCTGACTGGTACATTACACCAAACTGGGGATCTGTAGTTTGATTCACAACTAGAATCTGGAGTTTGGGATTCACCCAACTGGGAATCTGGAACTGGTGATCCACCGAACTGGGATTCTGGTGTTTGGGTTTCACCCAACTGGGAATCTGGTGTTTGAGATTCACTGAACTGGGATTCTGAAACTGGTGATACACCAAACTGGGGATCTGGTGTTTGGGATTCACCTAACTGGGAATCTGGAACTGGTGATCCACCGAACTGGGATTCTGGTGTTTGGGATTCACTGAACTGGGATTCTGAAACTGGTGATACACCAAACTGGGGATCTGTAGTTTGGGATTCACCCAACTGGGAATCTGGTGTTTGGGATTCACTGAACTGGGATTCTGAAACTGGTGATACACCAAACTGGGGATCTGGTGTTTGGGATTCACCCAACTGGGAATCTGGAACTGGTGATCCACCGAACTGGGATTCTGGTGTAAGTCAACCAGCGCCGCCATACATCACGGAGCAGGGGTCAACTACTAAGCCACGCCTACCCCCCCGCTATTTAAACCTGACCTCGTGTGACTTGTTCTTTCTACCTACACCAACCAGCCAGCAACACCTCCTCCGCCTGCCTGGTGGTCCTTGCTCCCGCCGGCGAGCATGGCGACCCACAAGCTGGTCCTCCTCTGAGCATCCACACCAACCAGCTCTCTCTACTGAACGCTTGTAACCATGCTGCCTTCCCAGCACCAAGCTGCATTGTACATCCAATACAACATGTATACAGAGAGCACATTGTGAGTTTCCTTTCTCTATTCCATCCTGAGTGAACACCAAACATCTCATCCCCACACTGTATTATGGTTTTTTTTTCCTAATTCCTGAAGTAGACTCAACGCAGAATACTGACCCTAAATAAAGGACTTCCCCTCGCAGACGAGACAAAAGGGAGACAGGTAAGCTTATTCAAAGATGCGAACCCTCAACGACTGCGATCACCAGGGCAGGGGGTGGGATGGGGTCGGGATGGGGTTGGGGTGGGGGTGGGGTCGGGGTGGGGTCAGGGTGGGGTCAGGGTGGGGTAGGGGGTCGGGGTGGGGTCGGGGTCGGGGTGGGGTAGGGGTGCGGGATGGGGAAAGGACAACAGGTTCATCTAAGCGGCCTTCAAACAATAACACGTCAGCTCTGATCCTCTGTAATATGACAACTGAATCTATTAGCAACGATGCGAACTTGTTTATTCTATAGATGAAATAAAAGATGTCAGTTAGTTCAATAAGATCGAACCCAAAAAACTTAATAAACGCCTTTAATTTGTATTCTGCTTAATGTCCTTGTTTATAGGTCAAATGAACGCTGCTCATCCAGACCACGTGGAAGAAGTAGATAAAACAAGTATAAGAGATCAAAGAGAAGCATTATATCGCTGGACACAACAACAGTTTAAGATTGGGTGAGTTTTTCTTTGGGGTTTGGTCGGGGAAATTTCCGACGTTTGCCCCAGTTGTGGCAGTGAGTGGAGAGAGAGAGAGAGAGAGAGAGAGAGAGTATCCGTCCTCTCCATTTCTCCGTGATTTTCTTTCTCCCGCAGTCTCTTTTTTTTCTCCTTTTTCTCTTCTCTCGGTCTATTTTATTTTGTCATTCTATTTACTACGATCTCACCCTCACTTCTCTCTCTCTCTTTCCGCCTTTCGCCCCCCTCCCTCTCACCCACCCTCTCCTTCTCCCTCCCTCTCACCCACCCTCTCCCTCCCTCTCACCCACCCTCTCCCTCCCTCTCACATTACATCATAAGTTATTTCATGAACAACTTTTGATGTGTGCGTGACTGTGTGGCTTGTGTGCACAAATGATGTTATGCTATTATTTTTCACAGGTCGTTCAAGTGTTCGCTTTAGGTTTTTGTAGAATGTGGCTTCCAAATGCCATTCCAAATGTCTGTGAGTTTCTTTTATGGCTAACGGAATGAGATTAATTAAAATTTTGCTTGTTTAATCATGTTATGTACCTATCTTTACACCAGTATGCAAGTTAATATAGAGAACTTTGCTTCAGTGTAATATAATTTATCAAATCAATTGCCTATCAAATAATTTACAGATACTACACTAATGAAGTATAGGGTTAGCATATAGCATTAGTTAGTACAAATATCACCTGATGCGGGAAATATCCTGGTTTGTCCCAGAATCTCGGGATGCTAAGAAAACCCCAAAACAGGAAACCCTAGTTGGTATACCTTAGGTGAGTCATTTATATTTGTTAATTCTATCCATCATCTCTTTTTTTATATTTACTACCTGTACCCTATACTCTCTCTCTCTCTCTCTCTCTCTCTCTCTCTCTCTCTCGCCTCCACCTCACCTGGTACTCAATAAGAAAATAATAAAGTATTGTTACCTTTAGGTGAAGTTCTGAGAGCACACCGACGCTCACCCCCCCCAAAAAAAAACTTACTGTGTCAAGGACGGACGTGTGTGTGTAATAATAATAAATAATAATAAACGGTTTATTAATAGAGTTGCAGCCGGTGGCTGAAAATATACAGACTTACATTTGATTTAGACATAATGATATAGTATGCATTGAATACATTTACAGGGTTGCACAGTACATAAATCAGGAGTTGTTTATTATTTTAACAATAGATGGGATGGTGCTGTTCTTATATCTATCGGTGCGGGCTCTTATGGGCTGAATTTGGTTGTAGTGGCGGACTGCGTGAGGTGGGTGGGGGGCTGCAGGTGGCAGGAGTGGCGATGGCGAGGGTGGTGCAGTAGTCCACTGCCAAACCTTTCCAGTGCTTGGTGGCATTTCCAGGGTGGAGAGAGCGTTGGTGTAGCCGGAGTATTCTGCGCCGAGCATGATTCTGCAGGCCCTTTTCTGTACCTTCTCTAGCTGACGTTGTTGGGTGGAGTTGAGAGAAGACGACCAGGCTGGTGACGCATACGTTTGTTTGGGGAGAATAAAGGCGTTGTAGATGGTTCTCAGCTCTGGCGTGGGTGTCCCAAGTGACCTAAGTCTTCGTAGCATGTAGAGACGATACGAGGCTGCCTTGACTGTGTTATTTACATGGGCCTTCCAGTCAAGTTTGTTGTCTATAGTTACACCCAGGAGTTTGGCAGACTGCACCAGCTGGAGAGGATGGGCACCCACTGTGACTGCTGGGGTTTGCACTGGAGTGGTGGCGGTATTGATGTGCATGACTACGGTTTTGGTGTGGTTGATGGTGACCTTGTTCTCCGTAGTCCATGCCTGTAACCTGTCCAGGTTGGTGGGCAGCCCTAGTGCAATAGCCTTGTTGATAACAGTGCAGTGATCAACAAGGTCAAAGGCCTTCCTGAAGTCCACAAGGGCAACGGCCAGTGATGTCTTGCGTTTCTGCAAGTTTTTGTGCAGAAAATCCAGAAAGCTCACCAAGCAGTGTGATGTAGAGGAGGTCCTCATATTGCCAAATTGCTGTGGATCAATTGACTGATAGATACTGGCAAATGCCCACTCAAAAACAAAGTCCTCACAAAGTAGACTGGGTATGGGGGTAATGGCAACTGGCCTGAGGTCGTTAGGGGACTGTGGGGTGGTGACCTTGGGGATGGGGTGACAAATGCGGTTTTCCATTCATTAGGGCATTTGCTTTGTCTGAGGGATGCATTAATAATAGAACAGAGGGGGGTGGCAAGTTCGACTGCAAACTCCTTGTATATTTTGATTGGGAGGTCAATTGGGGTCGTGGAGCGTTTGGATTTAAATTTCAGGAGTTTGTTGGCGATTTCATATGGTTGGACACTGGGAGGGGGGGAGGGGGAAGGTAAGTAAGCTGGGAGGAGAGTGAGGTCAAGACTGGGTAAGGTATGACATATGGTAGCAAAATGGTTATTAATTATCTCAGCTGCCTCCTCACTAGGTAAATGTGAGATGAAAGGAAGTGTGGGAGACTGACGGTTGAGACCACAGAGATCTTTTACCTTGGAGTACCACTGACCGATGCCGACTTCCTTGAGGCTGTGCACTTTCCTGGGATAATAAGTCTTCTTGGCAGACTTGATTTCCCTGATGACCTGGTTACGTAGACTTTTGTACAGGCGGTTGTTGGTGTAGTATGCCTTGTTGCGCTGCTCAATAAGTCTTTTTATGCTTGGCGTAATCCACGGGACATCATCGGGGTGTGTGTGTGTGTGTGTGCATTTCCCCACATCTGTACACACGTTATTGAAATACTTTGAGATTAAGTTTACACTAAATGGAGAGAGAGAGAGAGAGACAGACAGACAGACAGACAGACAGACAGACAGACAGACAGACAGACAGACAGACAGACAGGCGACTAACGACTGACCTATGATACAATAACAAGAAAGGTTCCACAATGCCATACAATTAGAGACAGTGTGAGACATTCCTCAGTAAGTGTTCGGAGTGAGACATAAAACTTGAGAAATCTTGGATAATTAGTACAAGGTGACGCGTGTAGTTTGAGACAGTTAGATTAAATTATACAGATAATGTGAACAGGTGTTGTACATTGTAATACATTAACAGGTGTATATTGGTATGTGACAGATAGACAGACAGACAGACAGGCCTAAAGAACGCGTCACGTGACCTTGACCTCTAATGGGTAACTCTAGGAGAAAGAGGAGGAGGAGGAAGAGGAAGATGAAGAGGAGGAGGAGGAGGAAGAGGATGAAGGGGGGGAGGAAGAATAGGAGGAAAAATATAGGAATAATGATAATATTAATAATGAAGGTATTATTATTATTATTATTATTATTATGGTTGTTGTTGTTGTTGTTGTTGTTGTTGTTGTTGTTATCTCTACTTGGCCACACACAACAATAACTCCCTTTACAACAACAACAACTAAACATCACAGCTCTGGCAACAACAAAATATTACACAACAACAAAAAAAAACCGAATAAACGAGACAGTTAGTTATATTTTCCTACTTATCGTCCCCGGGATATTTACAAGGTCGTTTTGTTTCTTGTATACTTAACCAAGGTTGAGTGTGTGTGTGTGTGTGTGTGTGTGTGAGAGAGAGAGAGAGAGAGAGAGAGAGAGAGAGAGAGAGAGTGTGTGTACTTGTATTTGTTGCGTGTGTGTGTGTGTGTGTGTGTGTGTGTGTGTAATAATAATAATAATAATAATAATAATAATAATAATAATCATAATAATAATAATAATAATAATAATAATAATAATAATAATTAATAATATACAAGTAACATAAGTGATAAAAATATGATATATACTGTAATAACACTAGATGGGGAGAAGGTCACACTACAGGGAATTTCAACATAGCGACAGTGCAAAGAGTAAGATTGACTGGGAGTGAATACACTGGTTGATTCCAAGTTATTGGTAATTTTTACAATGGTTGGGACTGGGCTGTTCTCATAGCGATCAGTTCGTGCTCGTATGGGCTGGATGCGGTTGTGGTGTCGAACAGCAATTCTCGGACGAGGGATCTTAGGTGGTAGTAGGAGCCGGTGTAGAGGATGGTGCAGAAGCTTCTTACCAAATTTGCAGATGAGGTCGTGGTGATGGTCAGTGAGAGTCGAAAGGGTCAGTGCGTCGAGCGCTTCTTGATATGTGGAGTAGGAAGGGAGAGAATAATCTTGCATGCCCTCTTTTGCATTTTTTTAGGTGTTTACGTTGTGTGGCATTTAGGGAGGAAGACCAGGCAGGGGAGGCATCTGACACTAATCTGCCTTCATGCTTTACTATGTTGATTACAGCTCCTTTGTGGTTAAAAAAAATAATATATTGATGAAATTAAATAAATATGATTAATCTTTTATTTTGCGATTTGATTTACATAATTGTAACTGTATATGCAAATAAATCTGTGAATATTGATAATTATTTATTTATGTTTGAGCAAGATCATGTACACCATAGAGAAATATTATACATGCTATGAAATATTTACTTACCATCACCCATAAATTACAAGTATGTGTAGGAGAGTAAAGGATTATCACCCTAATGCTCATGTACACAAACTGAGGAGGCTCGAACACTCCCCTTGTCTGACCACCACTGAATACCATAATCTCCCCGATGTGTTGTAGTTTATATCAACGTTATACTCAACAACTTTACTCCAGGTGATTGATGAGTCTAAGATGTTCTAAAGGAGATTAATTTTAGGGGAATATTTGGAAAGTCACCGCCATACATAGGAACCTGGGGGAGAGGGGGCGAAAAAAATATAGAAAAAAAATAAAAAAAGAAGTGAATAAAAAATCAAGAGTGAGAAACGATATATATGTTGTGTTGTCAAAGTAAGAGAAACAATTGAGACCCTGCAACTGTGTGTAAATGAGGCAGAAAGTCAGATCAGCAACCTGGGACTTGGTCACATATGGCAGCAGGGTCTACCATTAGACAACACATTATGCTTCCAATATCTTCCCAGGCGGTAGTACCTCCCTGTTTGGTAGCTGCCTACTACCTACTACCTCCCAAACATACTGCACACACACATACACACACACATACACACACACACACACAGCTCAAGTCGTAACTAATTGAACATACAGTAAAAGTAAACACAAAAAACAGGAAGTAAAAACGATAAAGAAAATACGAAGGAAAAGAAGCTTAAACAGAAAACGGGAATAAGAATACAAAAGCAGAGTCATAAGAAGAAAACGAAAGGAAAGAGAAAAACAACACCACTGATCTACACACCCGAGAGAAAGTGAAGACGCAACACTAATATCTCTCTCTCTCTCTCTCTCTCTCTCTCTCTCTCTCTCTCTCTCTCTCTCTCTGTAACCATACGATGGCAAACCCAAATCTGTATATCTTATGTGAAGCAATAAACCAACGAACCTGTAAACCCTTGAACCCAGACCCAAGAATCTATGTAGCCATTGACCCGAACCCGTGAACTCATTAACCCGAACCCGTGAACCCATAAACCCAAATCCGTGAACCTATAAGCCCATTAACCCGAACCCGTGAACCTGTGAACCCATTAACCCGAACCCATGAACCCATTAACCCGAACCCGTTAACCCATGAACGACACAAGCCTCTTTAGGCCACAGCAGGTAACCCTGAGGTGCGCCGTCACGTAACACACTCCACAAGAACTAGTCTGGCGGGAGGCGTCTTCAGTGAGTCAATCAAAACACTTCAAGATCAACACCTTCTTGCCTCGAATCCTGGAGGTCAATTTGGTTGAAAAGAAAAGCGGTACATTGGTTGGTATGAGCTTAGGTGCGTTTTTGATTGGTCGGTTGTGTTTGTTTACGTGATAGGTGATTGGTGGGAGTTAATTGGTGAGACACATAAGCAATAACTAGTTTAGATATAATCTAGCTTAACCAAACCTAACCTAATTCAACCTAACCACCTAATTGAACCAAACCTAACCAAATTCAACCTAAATTCACCTAATTCAACCAAACCTACCCTAAGCTAACCCATTTCATCTAACCTAACCTAACACACCTTAATAAATACGACAACAATAATAATAATAATAATAATAATAATAACAATAAAGATAAATAGAAAAGTAATAAATAATTCCGCCTCCCTTACCATGCTCCTGTCACACACCACAGCGACCCTCCCAACACGTTCTGGTTTACTGTACTAGTGATAAAACCAAGGCCAGATACCCGCCGTGTTAATTTATCGTCTTCCTCACCTCCTCCGGGAAATGTGGCGCAATTGTTCGGCTTTTTCTATATACTTGTTTTTATTCTTCTGCTCTACTTGACATGTGTGTGTGTGTGTGTGTGTGTGTGTGTGTGTGTGTGTGTGTGTGTGTGTGTCCATCCAAACATCCAACTCAGAGAAACAAATGAGCATCAATATTCACACATATATTTATTTAGTTCCACACATATATATTACGTTAACATAAATCACAGGAATCATATCACATTATTTTTTCTAACCCTACAGGTGTTAAATTATTCACCTTTTAAATCATTTAAGAACAGTAAGTAACATTGCACACCTGAGTATAAAGCTCTTGGTAACGCGTCAGTCTTATGAGTCTTGTGATAAGCCTCTCCTTGATGGGATCTTATAGCATCTAATTAGGGAAGAGTCTTGATACTTTGTTCATTTAAGCTCTAAAACAAGATATAAGACATATATGTTGCTGTAAGTCAAGGCATAAGACATACACAGAGCTCTAAGTCAAGATATAAGTCATATATGGTGCTTTAAGTCAAGACATAACACTTATAAAGAGCCTTAATTAAGACTTTATAACGAGCTCTAAACTTTGAGTTGGTTTCGACAGCAGCGGGGCAGAGTACAGGTACCCGGGTACTGATGAGGCACTGAACTGGGCCTCTAAGGACGACGATCCACCGAACTGGGATTCTGGAGTTTGGGATCCACCGAACTGGGATTCTTGAACTGGGGATCAACCGAACTGGGAATCTGGTGTTTGGGATTCACCGAACTGGGATTCTGGTGTTTGGGATCCACCGAACTGGGAATCTGGTGTTTGGGATTCACCGAACTGGGATTCTGGTGTTTGGGATTCACCGAACTGGGATTCTGGGATTTGGGATTCACCGAACTGGGATTCTGGTGTTTGGGATTCACCGAACTGGGATTCTGGTGTTTGGGATCCACCGAACTGGGATTCTGGTGTTTGGGATCCACCGAACTGGGATTCTGGTGTTTGGGATTCACCGAACTGGGATTCTGGTGTTTGGGATCACCGAACTGGGAATCTGGTGTTTGTGATCCACCGAACTGGGATTCTTGAACTGGGGATCCACCGAACTGGGAATCTGGTGTTTGTGATCCACCGAATTGGGATTCTGGAACTGGGGATCCACCGAGCTGGGAATCTGGTGTTTATAATTCACCCAACCGGGAATGTGGTGTTTGGGATCCACTGAACTGGGATTCTGGAACTGGGATCCACCGAACTGGGAATCTGGTGATTGGGATTCATCGAACTGGGAATCTGGTGTTTGGGATTCACTGAACTGGGAATTTGGTGGGATTCACTAAACTGGGAATCTGGTGTTTGGAATTCACCCAACTGGGAATCTGGTGTTTGGGATTCACTGAACTGGGATTCTGGAACTGGGATACACCAAACTGGGATCTGTGTTTGGGATTCACCCAACTGGGAATCTGGTGTTTGGGATTCACTGAACTGGGATTCTGAAACTGGCGATACACCAAACTGGGGATCTGGTGTTTGGGATTCACTGAACTGGGATTCTGTAACTGGTGATACACCAAACTGGGAATCTGGTGTTTGGGATTCACTGAACTGGGATTCTGTAACTGGTGATACACCAAACTGGGAATCTGGTGTTTGGGATTCACTGAACTGGGATTCTGTAACTGGTGATACACCAAACTGGGAATCTGGTGTTTGGGATTCACTGAACTGGGATTCTGAAACTGGTGATACACCCAACTGGGAATCTGGTGTTTGGGATTCACTGAACTGGGATTCTGAAACTGGTGATACACCAAACTGGGGATCTGGTGTTTGGGATTCACTGAACTGGGATTCTGAAACTGGTGATACACCAAACTGGGGATCTGGTGTTTGGGATTCACTGAACTGGGATTCTGAAACTGGTGATACACCAAACTGGGGATCTGGAGTTTGGGATTCACCCAACTGGGAATCTGGAACTGGTGATCCACCGAACTGGGATTCTGGTGTTTGGGATTCACTGAACTTGGTTTCAGAAACTGGTGATACACCAAACTGGGGATCTGGTGTTTGGGATCCACCCAACTGGGAATGTGGAACTGGTGATCCACCGAACCTTAATCCTGGGATCGGGGAACCACTAAGCTGGATTTCAGAGCTGGAGGACTGGGAGGCTGGCGGGGAGTCAGACACCAGCTTATAACCATGGTCGTCAGCGATGAAGTTGACGGAGGAGCCTGTACCATCTGGGTGTGGGAACCTGTGAAAATGTATACAATAGTTATTAGCGTTACAGTAATAGTTACCGAGATCCTGTAGTTCAAGTTTCGCATATTTCAGTGACGGCAGCAGATGAATTCAAGACGGATACAGTAAGTAAATAAAAGTCAAATATGAAATGATGACTGCTGGAGATGTGGGAGATATAATTATTGCATGCAGTGTTAAGGTTGAACATTAGATAATACTCACAACCATCCGCCTTGCACAGCCACTGCGCCACTGTCCCTCAGGGGGGCGCCTTTCTCATGACGGATGATACCGTTACTTGTCTCGAAGTGGAAGCTGTAGGTGCCGTCTACTGCAGGTCCCTGACGCTCATCCCTCAAGATCTGTGCTACACGATCCCTCTGGTTCATGTAGGAGCTGGAGAACCCACCAGGAGCACTGAATGGTAGGGGGATGGTAGAGGTCTCAATCACCGCCGCCACCAGCAACCACATCACCGCCACCTCCAGGTACAAGTTTTATGTCAATAACAAATCTACATAAAGTCTACGTTAATTCACTACACATTATCTCTGATCACTGACGCAACAGATCGTGTCTTAATATATAAAAAATAAGAGTTGAATAATAACTCTCTTTCAATGATATTGAGTTACTTCACATTACTTAACCCTCTCGCACACACACACACACACACACACACACACACACACACACACACACACACACTAAACCACGCTAACTCACCTCAGCAATATATAAAAACACGTAACTTATTTTACTAATTACAATACCAAAATCACGTTCAGTAAATGACTGATCAAGTGAGCCAGCCTCATTAGGACCCAACTTAACTGAATATATATGAACTAGATCTTACTCTTAATGGGCGCCAGTCCTAATAAAACCAGATATTAATGTACCCAAAACCTGATAGGCCCAATCCTCATGGTTAGGATAGGTTAATGTGGGGTCTATTAGGACTGGGGCCCATATGAACTGCAACACATTCAATCTTACCATCAACATCTTGAAGACGATGTCCAAGTACGACTGCGTGACCCACTGTGGCTGTTCTCTCTTTATATACAAGTCCTCTCTCCCCTCCCCTGCCCCCCATGCCCTCCCATCCCCTCCACCCATCCACCTCCTCCAACACGATCAACGTACTGTATTATGGTTTTTTTTCCTAATTCCTGAAGTAGACTCAACGCAGGATACTGACCCTAAATAAAGGACTTCCCCTCGCAGACGAGACAAAAGGGAGACAGGTAAGCTTATTCAAAGATGCGAACCCTCAACGACTGCGATCACCAGGGTAGGGGGTGGGTTGGGGTCGGGGTGGCGTTGGGGTGTAGTAGGGGTGGGGTAGGGGGTCGGGGTGGGGTCGGGGTGGGCGTGGGGTGGGGTAGGGGGTAGGGGGTAGGGGTGTAGGGGTGCGGGATGAGGAAAGGACAACAGGTTCATCTAAGCGGCCTTCAAACAATAACACGTCAGCTCTGATCCTCTGTACCATAACAACTGAATCTATTAGCAACGATGCGAACTTGTTTGTTTTATAGATGAAATAAAAGATGTCAGTTAGTTCATTAAGATCGAACCCAAAAAACTTAATAAACGCCTTTAATTTGTATTCTGCTGAATGTCCTTGTTTATGGGTCAAATAAACACTGCTCATCGAGAGCACATTGTGAGTTTCCTTTCTCCATCCCATCTTGAGTGTGAACCAAACATCCCAAAAACCCCACAAATGGTGACTCCCGGAGATTCGCACTCACACAGGATGGAGGAGAAACTGATCACGCTCCCAGTCTTCAAGCAACATGGAAGACTGGCTTATCCACACAGAAGCAGCTCTCATCGGCTCTACAACTACTGTCTCTACACCGCAGGTTAGACACCCTAGAGCAGCTCTGCTACTCTAAGCAGACACCAGCTCCTCTTCCTGCCCCAAGCACCACGTCCTACCGACCCCAGCACACCCGTCCTGCCTCAGACGCCGACCCCGGCCCAGCAGTAACCCCTGCCGCCCCTGATGCGGCCCCTGTTCCTGAGTGCGGACCCACACATCCCTCTTTTCTCCCTCAGGTACTCCCTGCTAATGTCCTGCACCCTGCTGCTGTCGTGGACCCAGCTGCTGTCACGAGCCCTCATCCGCTTCTGATGACGCAGCCCCTGCTCCTGACCCAGGCCCACACACCCCAGCAGGCGCATCTGACGACTCTGTACCTGCCGTGAGGGAAGAACAAAATTCATCGCCTCCACACACCCTTTTTCTCCCTCTCTACTCCCACAGATATTGTGTATCTAGACAGTTGTGTCCATCGACCGGCTCATCCACGCCATCGCCGTTGTCTCACATGAGGCATGCACCGCCCGTTCTGCCTCACATGTGCTATGCACCCCTGCAGACAACAAGTCTCCTACACTGCTTGGAGCGAAGGGGGAGTATTGTAGTGGATTTCTCCCCTACAAACACTGTTTGTCGCTGAGTAGCCGACCCCACCAATTCCAATGCCTCGTGGTCTAGGTCAGCCAGCGCCGCCATACATCACGGGCGGGATTCTGGGCACTACATATTTGGGCTGACCTGGTGAGCCTGTCTCTTTCTACCTACACCAACCAGCTATGCCCTCCTCCTCCTGCCTGCCTGGCGGTCCCTTGCTCCACTCCGGCAGGCATAGCGACCCTAAGCATCACTCCTCTGAGCATCCACACCAACAGCTCTCTCTACATCACCTTGTAACCATGCTGCCTTCCCAGCACCAGCTGCACTGTACATCCAGCCACAACATGTATGAATTCCACAGCGCCGTGCCTCGTGGTCTAGGTCAACCAGCGCCGCCATACATCACGGAGCGGGGTCAACTACTAAGCCACGCCTACCCCCACTAATTTGGACTGACCTATTGACCTGTCTCTGCCACCAACCAGCTGGCATATATACCGCCGCCTGGCAGTCCTTGCCCGCCGGCGAGCATGGCGACCCTAAGCTGTCCTCCTCTGAGCATCCACACCAACCAGCTCTCTCTACATCACGCTTGTAACCATGCTGCCTTCCCAGCACCAAGCACTGCACTGTACATCAATACAACATGTATACAGAGAGCATGTGGGGTTTGCTTTTCTCTATTCCATCCTGGTGAACACAAACATCCATCCCCACACTGTATTATGTTTTTTTTTCCTAATTCCTGAAGTAGACTCAACGCAGGATGCAGCCCTAAATAAGGACTTCCCCTCGCAGACAGGACAAAAGGGGAGACAGGTAAGCTTATTCAAGATGGGAACCCTCAACGACTGCGATCACCAGGGCAGGGGGTGGGTTGGGGTTGGGGTGGGGTAGAGGTCAGGGGGTGGGAGTAGGGGGGTCGGGAATTGGGGTTAGAGGTCAGGGAGTGGGGGAATTAGAGATCGAAATTAGGGTCAGGAGTAGGGGGTCAGGGTGGGGTCAGGTCAGGGGTGGGGTAGGGGGTGCAGGATGGGGAAGGACAACAGGTTCATCCTATAAGCGGCCTTCAAACAATAAGCATTAAACCGATTCTCTAAATATGACGGCTGATCTGGCCGCCCAACGATGCGAACTTGTTTATTCTATAGATGAAATAAAAGATGTCAGTTAGTTCATTAAAGATCGAACTAAAAAACCCAATAAACGCCTTTAATTTGTATTCTGCTTAATGTCCTTGTTTATAGATTCAATGAATATCATCAGTAGAATAATAGTATGAGAATCGAAACAATTATATCGCTAGGGATTTGTTCAGTTAGTTAGGGTGGAGTTTTCTTTGGGGTTTGGTCAGAAGTTTTGACGTTTGGTGTAGCGAATGGAAGTGATATCCGTCCTCTCCATTTCTCCGTGATTTTCTTTCTCCCGCAGTCTCTTTTTTTCTCCTTTTCTCTTCTCGGTCTATTTTATTTTGTCATTCTATTTACTACGATCTCACCCTCACTTCTCTCTCTCTCTTTCCTTTCGCCCCTCCTCTCACCCACCCTCTCCCTCCCTCCCTCCTCCACCCACCCTCCCTCTCCCTCCCTCTCTTCCCACCCTCTCCCTCCCTCTCCACATTACATCATAAGTTATTTCATGAACAACTTTTTGATGTGTACGTGACCTAATAATGGCTTGTATTGCACAAATGATGTTATACTATTATTTTTCTGGAGTCTCGTTCAAGTCTTCGCTTTAGGTTTTTTTTTTTTTGTAGAATGTGGCTTCCAAATGCCATTCAAATGTCTGTGAGTTTCTTTTTATAGCTAACGGAATGAGATTAATTAAAATTTGCTTGTTTAATCCATGTTGTACTGTCTTTTACCATTGTTCATCTCTGAGAACTTTGCTTTAGTGTAATATATTTATCCAATCAATTTACCTGTAAAATAATTTCTGAATTTTCACTAATGAAGTATAGGGTTGCATGTATTAGATTGTACTAAATATCACCTGATGCGGGAAATATCCTGGATTTGTCCCAGTCTCGGGATGCTAAAACCCCAAAACAGGGAAACCCTAGTTGGTATACCTTAGAGTGAGTCATTTATATTTGTTAATTCTATCCATCATCTCTTTTTATATTTACTACCAACCCTACTCTCTCTCTCTCTCTCTCTCTCTCTCTCTCTCTCTCTCTCTCGCCTCCACCTCACCTGGTACTCTAATAAAAGAAAATAATAAAAGTATTATTATTTACCTTTTAGGTGAAGTTCTGAGAAACACACCGACGCTCACCCCCCAAAAAAAAACTTACTGTGTCAGGACGGACGTATGTGTAATAATAATAAATAATAATAAACGGTTTATTAATAGAGTTGCAGCCGGTGGCTGAAATATACAGACTTACATTTGATTTAGACATAATGATATAGTATGCATTGAATACATTTACAGGGTTGCACAGTACATAAATCAGGAGTTGTTTATTATTTTAACAATAAATGGGATATTTTGTATATATCTATGGTGCAGGCTCTTACTGGGCTGAATTTGGTTGTAGTGGCGGACTGCGTGAGGTGGGTGGGGGCTGCAGGTGGCAGGAGTAGCGATGGCGAGGGTGGTGCAGTGATCCACTGCCAAACCTTTCGATGGCAGTGATGAGTCACTGAGGATGGCATTTCCAGGGTGGAGAGCGTTGGGTAGCCAGCCGGAGTGTTCTGCGCCGAGCATGATTCTGCAGGCCCTTTCTGTACCTTCTCTGGCCTGACGTTGTTGGGTGGAGTTGAAGACGACCAGGCTGGTGACGCATACATTTGTTTGGGGAGAATAAAGGCGTTGTAGATGGTTCTCAGCTCTGGCGTGGGTGTCCCAAGTGACCTAGATCTTCATGTATGTAGAGACGATACGAGCTGCCTTGACTGTGTTATTACATGGGCCTTCCAGTCAAGTTTGTTGTCTATAGATTACTGCCAGGTTTTGTGGGTACCGGCTGGAAGGTTGGGGCACCCACTAGGCTGCGGTTTGCTGGGTGGTGTGACCTTGTTCTCCATGAAGTCCATG